TGGTAAAATTTTCAATTCCTTTGGTGGTTTAGTAGGATCAAGATGATAATCTACAATATTTTGATATAAATTATCTGTTAAGACATTTTCTAAAAAAGAGCGAAGTTTATTAAAGTCTTTTGCAGGTATCGTAAACCAACGAATTAAAGGAATAAATTCATGAATAGCTTTCTCAAAAATCTTGAATTCTCGACTTGTCCAGTTCATCATGCCCTTTCGAGAGGTTTCCTCGTTTTGTGCAGTGCCCCACTTAATTAGATAGTCCAAAATATTTTTCTCATTTAATATTCCCATATCATCACGTTCCAATATATGAATTAAAATGGAACGATCTAATCGAATCAATTTTGAGTTATCAAATAATGAATTTGGATTGAGACATATAAGATAGATACAGTATTCCCGAAATGATTTACATATAACATGTTTAAAAATAATTTCTAATACACCAACTGCGTCATTTTGAAGAAGATTTTCTAAATTTTGTTCTATAAACGTTGACATGTCGGAAAATAAATCTTCAAGTTTCAATACATTAGCTTCTATAAATATACGCAAAATTTCAGCACCATGAAATTTATTCACTATAAGATTAAAGTTTATCTTTGAAAATAGACTACTAACAATTATTTTATTTTGTAGTTCATTGGCAGTTTTCATAAATTGTAAAAATTGTTCAATATTCAATTTATCAAGGATAATTTGAATAAAATCCTCACTCGCTAACATATCATCAATAGCTTTTCTAGATTTCATATTGTTCGGTATTCTCATTAGATTTAAAATACTGTACGCATTAAATTTGTATAGGATAGTATTGATGAAATCCTTATTTGATAATATTTTGGCAATTGTTTCTTGAATTTGCAACTCCTCAGTCTTTTCTATAATTTCTAATATTTCTAAACTATCCAATTTTCCTAAGATAGCCCTTACAACGTCATTTTTTGATAATATATGATTAACAGCATTTTGAATGTTGAATTCATTAATTATCAAAAGTTTTAAAACTTCACCGCCATTCAACTTTCTTAATGTTGTTTTGGCAAAATTCGTAGGTAATAATAGATAATCAATAATGACTTGAAGTTCCATCTTATTTGCTGCTACAATAAGCATTAATATGTTGGCACCATTCAATTCTTCAATATCAAATTCAGTAGTATATAAATATCTTTAAAATTAAAATATAATTGATAATAGTTACTACGTATAATAATATGCATGTATTAATTTAAAATTGCACAAATACCTTAAAATGACTTTAAAAACAACTGTAGAAATATCTTGAATTGGAAAAATAAAAGGACTACTATCTTCTTTAACTTTAGATAAAGCCATTTTGAAATAAGAGGAACGTGCACATAAGATCAAAGAATGTGCATAAAAATCTTTGAAAGAAAAATTTTTGCTAACAATATCTTTGCTAACACGAATGATGACATCATATTGGTCATTCGTTTGAAACAACCTTTTATTAATATTAACAAGATCCTCATATGAACTAAAAAATGATTCGCATTCGATTTCCATTTTTTCAAATGATACAAATTTTGGTGCAAATCTTGGTGGTTTCATTCTTGCGTTCGCTGATAGAGAATTAGGATCCAAGTGATAGCTTAAAATACTATCAAACAAATCCGTTGATAAAATATTTTGAAGGAGTGGTCTAATTTGTCCAAATTCTATACTTGAAATCTTGAACCATCGGATTAAAGGAATGAGTTCACTAATTGCAGTTTTAAGTGTAATATAGTCATTTCCTTCCCAATTATTTGTATCTTTTTCTTGAATAGTAGCAGAACCCCATTGGATCAAATATTTTAAAATATTTATTTCGCTTAGGTTTCCTAGATCATCACGTTTTAATATTAAAGTTAGAATATTTGAATCTATCTGAGTAAATCTGGGATGTTCAAACATAATATTTGGATAAGTACATATAAGTTGAAGGCATGGTTCATGCAATTTCTCGAATATATTATTATATTGAAAAATGATTTGTAATGTTCTAATTGCATCACTTCGTATTATTTTTTCCAAATTTTCTTGTACATAAAAAAATACTTTGTTAAATATGCTACTAATTCCTTTATTAAGAAGTAATAATCTATCAGTTTCCACTAAAAATTCCAAAATCTCAACACCACTTAATTCATCTAAAGAAATTTCAGTAGTATATATGTACCTTTTAAAAATAAATCAGCACGATTAATAATCATTTGACAAAGCATATAAAAAAAAAAAAAAAATAGGAAAATAGTATCAATGTATATAGATACCTTAAAACAGCTTTAAATGTATTTATTGGCACATCTTTCATTTCAATAATGAAAAATTTTCCTTCTTTCTTAGCCCAACTACTGGAAAGAGCCCTATTAAAATACCTAGAGCGTTCTCTTAAAATAAGCGAATGTGCACAAAGCTCTTTTAAATTCTCGTCTTTGTCAAAGCGAATAATCACATCGGAATTATAGCCATCTTGAAGAAGTTTTCTATAATCTGAAGCAAGTTCTTTAGAATTTGTCTTCATTGTTTTAATTTGATAAATTTTATCCTAAATTTTTTTAAAGAAATTATAATAATGTATTCTGATTAATATGATCTTGACGTATTTATTTATTAATTATATCTAAAATAAATAATGTACGTACACTGTACACTGTGTTACATGCGATTATTGTACACTGTTACATGCGATTATTATATACCGTACACTGTTACATACGATTATTAAAACCTTATTTCGAATTCCTGTTTAGGTAATTTTATAATAAATTACATTGTTATCGTTACATTCAATTTATGTTCATACAGTATTATTGTCTATTTTATCCAAAAAGAAAAAAATACATATGGTTATACTATATTGTTACACAGACGAGACAAACCGAATGCAAGTCTATGTGAGCAAACGGTTTTCATGTCCTCTGAATGATCTGACGATTATTATTGCTCGATCAGAGACTTTATTGTTAAAACGAAGGAAAAAACATATGGGAATAGGTCGCTATTCTAAGGCTCTCAATCGTGTTAAAGTTATTGTCTTGAACATAATCCTAAACTTTCGAAATCTAGTTCGAACGGTTTCAGACTTGGCTGTCTAATGGGGTCAAAAGTTACGGGACCAATGACCTGTAGCACAACATCAATTAACCATTAAAATACACTCTCAGGAAGAAATTAACAAATCAGACAGCGATACAGAGAATAGAATTTATAATTTATAACACTGGGGTGCAGTTTCGGAGCCATACCTATTTGAACTACGGTGTCATTAAGCTTTGCAGTGGTCATTGCGCTCTTAAAAACAGGTGTGCAGGGAGGGCCAATAAAGCCAATCTTCACCAAGGCGAGCGATACTAAACCTTTATGACATTTCTTTTTCGTTTTCATCTATTTATGACATTATTATAAAATTATATTTCCAATTTTACTAAATACTATGTATTCAATTACGACCAAGCCTTATTTATGAAACATTAGTTTTGGTAGCTTTATTTGTTTTAGCAAAAAATATATATAGAATGCCACAGCAGAACAGCTGCACCTTTTATAGCAATAATGATGTCGATCAAATAATTCTACGTAGAAATATACGATATACATGCACGTAACCTTTACATGCATTTCTTCTCTTGGGCCAACTAATGCAGCACATTTGGGCGTCTTATTACATTTAGAGAGGTTGACTATATTTGCAATTTGAGACTTGCAACTTTTGAGTATTTTCTGGTAAAAATTTTTTTGAATTTTTATCTATTTGCTTTGACAAAATCCTTTGCATTTTTATTCCGCATTTTATTTACGGCTGTTTGTTAAAATATGAGCTATTGATCGAGTTGTTTTCTATTAATAAATATTTTTAGAAAATATTCGTGAAACACAAAAAAACGCCTAAAATATTAATAACAAATTAATTTCAATGGAAAATAATGGATTTATGACAATTGGTCTTTGTTATGAATAGTGTAACGCAATCAAAATTAAATACCTTACATACTGTACGTACGCATGTATATATTCTGATTCAATTCGAAAATTAAAAAATATTAGAAAATGGTCGTTTACTTTCTCAAAAATTCCTTCCAAAACTAACTTTTAAGAAAAATGACGAAATTAATTGATGAACCATATAAGCCAATTTTTTGGCTTGTATGTGGTTTAAAAGTCTTATTTCATTTGATTTACATAATCCTCTGGATATGTCAAGCTATATATAATCCATTTAAACAGACATTTAATGATTCTAGTCGGTTAGCTGAAGGTATAATTCTGGCAGCAGTATTCGCACTATCTATAATAGTTTTTTTTATCGAATTATATTTTTTCTACGTATTTAAACGACAACGAACAATCCTTAATCTACATATATGTATAAACTCATTAATATCCCCAATTTATCTTAGTCTTTCTTTGACTTTAACTATTTTGACTATTAGTAGTGAGCCAATTTGGAATTTATATTCTATAATGACTGCGTCATTATGGGTCATATCGGCACTCACACTAATTCAGAATATTACATTTATGCAAAAGAATTTAAATTGCATTTTTTTTAAATTAGTAAAGGCAGTATTTATCGGAATTTATTTAACATTTTACATTATTCAATTTATTAAATTCACTTATTACAATTCTTTTAATAGTACTGGTTACTTTAAAAATCTTTTAATTTCTTTTATTATTGGGATCCTTAATTTAGCGTACGATACAAATTATGTGATTAAAAATAAGGGAGAAGAAAGTAGGATTGAGAATCATGGATTTGATATTATTATTCCCATAATATTTGCGATGATTAATTTTGGTGTTTTCTTTACAAATACTTATTTTTTATTGGGAAAAGTTTATGCTATTATCGATGGCTTAGTTATAATTGTTATGACTTGTTATTTTGTAGAAATTATTTGCGTGATTAATAAAGAAAAAATCAGACAAGGACTTTTGGATTTGAGGAATTCTTAAGTTCCTCACTCAATAAATTGAATGTAAGTTTTATAAAACAATAAATTCTCAATAAATTTCTACTCGATTTAAAAAAATAGGTTTATATAATTTTTAAAGTTCGAGGTGTTTAAAACAAACAATTGATGTTTAAAACAAACAATTGATATTTGACACGAATATAATAAATATGACTCATCTTTTAACCCTTAATCAAGCTATAATAAATATTGCTATTCCGTTTTTTACTTATCTAATTTAAAGTTTCTTAGTAAAGAAGACATCAAAAATGTGAATTTAAGATTTAACGGAAAATGACGATTATATTTCTTTTCGAAACGTTTCATATTATCTATGCTACTTCTAATGCAAACTAACAAGTGCAGAATTATTAATAAATAACTTAAATTATAAATATTATTAATGAAATAAAAAATTTATTCTTTGCTTTCGTAAAGTTACTTTGCTAACGACTCTATAAGTTAGTTTCGTTGCTATTACAACCAAAAATTGGCGCAAACTGAGCTTAAATAAAAAAAATTTTATTTGTTTTTTTTTAGAAGGTATAGCGAAGAAAAATAGTAAGAATTCGTTCAAGAATTTATTTCTATAAATATCGTTATTGATTGTGATAATTGTTATCATGAGCATTATTCAATCAATTGATTGAGATGCTTGAGAACACCCTGAATAATTGAGTATTTGTATATAGTCATATATTTTGTATGATCTAATAAAAAGCAAATAATTTTGTATTCTAAGGAAAGTTCTCTGGGTGTCTGATCTTTTCCTAATTGTTTTACTCAATAGACGTTGGTATTTCGTTAAAGCTATGAATGGCACTTTTTTTTATTAGTGGAACATTACATTCCTAAAAAGTGCTGCAAGCAAAGGTATCATAATTAGTACTCTGGACAATTGATTTACATCAGATATTCAGAAAACATCTTGAGTGGTTAGACAACAACAAATATTTACAAAATTAATATATGTATGCATATATAAACAAACTATATATTATATAACATAAATAGTCTAAATGCGATACCAAAAAAATATGTCATACCGCACCGTTACCAACATTATTTTAAGTTTCTATGAATTATTAAAACTTCTATACTGTACTTAAATATTCAAAAATAAACGGAAATGGTTCATAAAAATGTTATAGGAGCATTGAAAATATTATCCTTTCTACTTTATTTTATTCTCTGGATATATTTTGAAGTTAAAGAATTCGGTTCTTTTACATCCAAATCATTTTCTATAAATATAATTTTGGGTTTTGCTTTTGCTTTATCGATAATATTTTTCTGTACCGAAATATGTGCTTTAGCAAGTGAAGATAATGATGCTATATATTTAAACAGCTGTTGTATTATTTTTACGTTTATTGCTCTTCCACTAGCTTATAGTGGTGCAGTTAGTATAGGAGGATTTAATGTGGGAAAGGTGCATCCCGCTCTAATTGTATTATTATGGATTATACCAATACTTTCATTGCTTCAAATAATTATTGTTGCTAAAAGACTTACTTATTGGCAATTTCTTAAAATTATTAAAATACTATTTATTGTAGTTTATTTAATAGATTGTATTATTTATGCTCCTTACGTTCTTAAAGCATCTGCTGGCGAAGGATACTTACCATATTATGCCATTAATATTTTAGTTGTTTTTATCACTGGTATTCTAAATTTAATTTTTGAATTAGTCAAATTTTGTATGATTAGAAAAATGAATACTTTCACAGTATCTACTATTATATTATTCACACTTTCTCCTATATTATTTACCTTTATTTACTTTGGGGTCGCCTTTTCAAATATATATTTCTTATCAGAGCAAACTTACTCTATGATTGATGGGTTAATATGGGTTATTTTAACTAGTAGTTTTGTGGAACTTGTTTGTTTTCTTATTTCCAGAGCAGAGCGAGCAACTTAAGTTCAGACGATGAGTAGAGATATTAGGTTTCATATGGAATCCATGGAGTTTAAAATAAGATAAAAAGTTATTTGCAGCTTTCAAATATTCAAATAAATCGTATTAGTTATTTAGTGGTGTATGATGTGTATTATAAATGTAAGGTTTAAACGCAGCACTTGATTTATTGGTATATGATGTATTATACATTTAATAAATTCGGAAATTTAAGTTTTAAATGCTGTATTTGATATACGATATAATTTTACACAATAAAATTAGATGAATGTGTCGCATCTTTTAATTGTATTGTTCTCATAATCAAGCCATATCGAATAAGTAGCTGCGCAACATTGTCACGCGAAACCAGGAACGTAATATATTATAAATATTGGTTTGAAAATTTTTTAATTAAGACTATTAAAGTCGTGGTATTTGGTTTGTTATTGTATATATGTATATGTATTTAAAATGAAAAGTATATTTAAATCTAAATTATTTTATTTTTGTATATTAAAAAAGATTTTAGTGGGCAACCCAGCTTACCCCCGACAAATCCCACTATGACATCATCAAACGCAAACAACAACAACAACAAACTCGCTCAAACCAGTTCTGACAACATCCTAACAGGAATTACAGGCACTGACAACAGTCACATCATTATCTCTCACAATGATCACACAAATATTACCATAAGCAGCAGTAACAAAGCAGAGCACATGTTCCTGACAGAGCACATACCTAACAGCCTAGACTCTACAGACATACAACAAAACAAACTTGAGACCAAAGAACAAACAAACCCTGACAACCTAAATATGAAAACTGAATCTGCTGCTACAATAGTCAACAATTCTGATAAACAAAAGCTTCCCACTTACAGTTAAATAACACAAAGAAATATCATTACACAAAACATGACACAAGACAACATGAAAATAGACTATACCCAAGAATGAGTAAACAGCATATGTGATAACTTGCAAAAAAAATCACAAAGTCTTTTAACAAAGAACTATGGAGCTATGATGAAATCATTGCCATTCTAAAAATAAAAAAAAGAATTTACAATTTCATAGAACACAAACTATTTACCAAACCCATCAACTTCCCACTTCATCTAGTCATTGAAGCCAAATTCAAACATAAAAACCCAACATTTTTTCTTACCTTCACAAGAGATAAATGCTTGATACCTTAGCATCAGACTGCTTATGAAGATTTATTCAAGACAGCAATGAACAATTATAAGAAAGCTCACAAAATTACAATAACATTTAGAGCAATTAGAGATACCATACACATGAAACTCAAACAAAAAATCATGATTAACTACCTAACCAATACTAACTTCACAATAAATATACCTAGAACCCTCTATTTCTTAATTAAATATTATAAAAACTTTACTAGAGATAAAACTCCAATCAATTTTCAAGACATATAAGATACAATACAGTCTGCCTTCTCTACACAACTAGATTCACTTCATATGAATCCAAAAGAAATCCCTAGTAAAATTTTACAGATACTTCCTTTTAGCCTTTCTATAAAACAAAAATCACAAACAAAAGTAATAGTAACAGCATTATACAAAATATATAACTTTGAGCAACTACTACAAGAATACTTTTATTACATTTAATCCAATTCCAAAAAAATATACAGAACCTAGACCCTGCAGTGAGACACCTCTTCCCAATTACCAAACGAAGCCAGCTAAATAACCTAGCATTCTATAAAAAAAGATTACAAGACTTCTATACCTGCAAAACTATACCCTCAAACTACTTCAACCTACTACCTCCTAAACAATCATTTCCATTAGCATACCAAGATCTTAATAGCAAATATAAATTCTATTTTCCATTAGATCTACAAGATCTAGACACAGATATCACACAAGTCATAGAACTTCTTAGAGAAGAATTTACTTTCAAAAACCTTCCAAATGACTACATCAAAGCTAAGTCATCCTTCCCAAAAAATACCAACAAAATCAAAAACCTGATGCATTTACTTTTCCAATAACAGCCAACCAACAAGCAAAATGATTCATAGATCAGATTACACTAATTTACAAGTTCTCTCTCCCTCTACTACCTAGCATAATACTAGCAAACCCCACAGACAAACCCATCCTACCTGAAGATCCACAGGAAATTGAAGACTTCAATATCACAACTCCCATAACATTAACCAAAAAACTTGTAGATACAGCCAGAGCACTAAGACAAATATACTACTTTTATTGTATTTCAGACACCTGGATTGACATATCTGAAAATACCAAACACACAGACATACAAAACACAGACCAAGATAAAAACAAAAACCCACCTAAACATGTAATTCCAAACTCATCAACAGAAATTAAAAACTACTTAACTATTGTAAGGCTCAATAACATAACGTAAATACTTTGCTGAGACCTTATGCGAGACAAATACAATGATCAATTCTTCAAAATAGATATGCTGGCAATTAATCGCATTAATGTGATTAATTAAATAAATCAAGGAAATGAGATTAATTAGATAAAGAGAATTAATTAGAGAAGGGAAATTTATTAAATAAATGGGTTTAAGTAAATAAATTAGAGGAATTGAATAAAAGGGTTTAAAGAGATAAATGTAATTAATGAAGTTATAAGTAATAAGATATTATAAATAAAGGCTAAAATGGCTCTTTGGAGCAGTATGCTTCATTTGCTTTATTAAATAATAAGTTCCAATACACTACATTGTACATAATAAACACTAACACTATTACTATTACAAACCCTATGAACCTCCATAACATTGCTGTTCAACCTTTGTACATATGACTTACCCTATTTGCATTCATTGACCTAAAGTAACTGAAAGTTTTCTCACCCACAAGCCAAATCTAACACCCTCTTTCGAAAAGTTTACTTGTAATATGTTACACAAGGTTTTAAATTTTGAAGTGACAGAGTCTCAAACTTCTGAACCCAACACTATGAAAAAAATAGACTTTACTCAAACACCTATTCCAATTATACAACAAACAAGGGCAAAGAATACACTAGAACTACTATGACAACATTTTACTATCAACAACATTTTAGACAATCTTCTAGCACTACCACCCTTTTCAGAACCAAACTGGGAGATCTTCTCACTTAAGATTCAACCATGACTGCACACACTAGCAGTTCAAATACATCAACACCAATCTCTACCTCTCTAACAAATCAGCTTATTACCAATCCTATTAATATTAACAACTTAACAATATATACTCATAATGTGTAAGGAATCAACAACAACCTCAAACTACAACTTTGGCATAAATATTGCTATAAACAAAACTTTTATATTATTTGCATGCAAGAAACAAAAATCAATGAATTTACTTTTACAAAACTCCAAGTAGCAAACTCATACTACAGATTTGTTTTTTCCACAATGTAATAAAACCAGAATTATATCAGTTTATCTACCAACATCCAACCAGCAACTCTCAACCAGCATCCAAAACACAGTAATAATATGGATACAATAGGCTCAAACAAGATTTTACCATATTGTTATTGCTGAAGACTTCAATAACAACTTACTATCAAATATAAGAAAGAAAAAAACTCCTTTGCTCCATTATCTCACTACTCATACCCTTATAAGCACTCTTAATCATTTTAAAATTAGTATACCTATCTGGCAATAAACAAACCAATCTAGCCAAATCAATGACATATGGATGTCATGTAACATAATACACCAAATAAATACACCAACTCTAATGGCACTGACCGAATCTACGAAAAGCGATCATAAAATAATATATATAATCTAAAATACTAACTTCACAATTAGACATAAAAGACACAAAAAAAAGAAAAGAACAATATACCTATACAAACAAATAGACAAGGACAAGTAGGAAGACTTTAAAACAAAAGTTAACTTATATATAGAAAACACAACTAACATGCCAACTAATCCTACCTTCTACATTGAAACCCTCAACAAGCAATGGCACAAACTTAGTACAGTGATAAAAAGGCAGTCAACAAAACAATTCCAACAACAAAAGTTACACCTCACAACCATTTGGCATTCACCAAAAAATCAATACTACTTCACACTGCACTAAAAAATCTAAACAAAAGCCTACACATACTCACATCTACTAAACCACCTACCTCACTACAACAAATTATCATACAAATTAACCACCTACTAGAAAAAACACAAACATTAACAAATCTTCCTATTGAAACTCTTAGCAAAAATAGTCTAACTTATACCAACTTTAGCAACACTGTTAACCAACTACACACAGTTCACAGCACTCTGTATAATGCCTGAAATATTGAGAACCAAGCAGCCTAGCGAAACTGAATCCAAACAGCTATCTCTAAAAGACACTTGAACTTTACAGACAATACAACAAAAATAATTGATAGTATTTTACATAAACATACAGACCCAGTAATCCTCCACAATATTAAACAAGCAGAAGATGTGATCACCTCATCTATACAAATAAAATAACATGTATAAACACATTTTGAAAACTGGACAAAGGCAAATCTATTCAACAATACAGACTGGCCCAACTGGAAGCCAATCTACAGTCCTATTACTAAAATAAACCCTCAGTGGTACTCTATACTAACTGACACTATTACAATAGAAAAACTGGAAAATACATTAAAGAATCTCTCTTAAACAAAGCATCTGGCCTACAAGCAATTTCTAATAAAATATTAAAACATCTCAGTTCAACAGCAAAGCAAATCCTACTGTGGATTTTTAACACTTCTCTACTATTAGAAACTATAGCAACCCAATGAAAAAAGCAACTATCTATCCTATATTCAAAAATCTACTTTTATAGGACAGCTTGATCACACCCATCCCATCACCTTTATTAAACATTTATGAAAAATATTTACTAAAATAATAACTAACAGACTTAACAACATAATGCTCAGATATCCTATTCTTTCACCTTATAATCATGTAGCCTTACTCTTCGACTCTATAATACAGCCAATCCAAATACTAATACATATTCTAGAAGATGCAAACACTGAAAACAAAGAAATCTGGATCTTATCCCAAGACATGTCTAAAGCCTATGATTTAGTACACATACCACTATTTAACAAAGTATTGGCCCAACTCTCTATAACTACAAAAATCATTAATCTTATCACAGACATTTTTACCAACAGAACAAATACAGTCATAACAAACTTTGGAACTACCAACCCCTATTCTGTACATAATGGACTTGATCAAGAAGAAACCATCACCCCACTCCTATGGTGCATCTTTTATAACTTATTAATATTAAGAATTGCTAAGCAATATAAGAGATACGAATTACAGACTAACACACTAACTGGCAAAACATATTACAATAATATCAGCTACCTGGCCTACATGGACAATACCACTTGGATTACACAAAATAAACAGCAACTACAAGAAATTATTACAACTGCCATCTTATTCTACAAAATAGCCAACATAACAGTTAGCCTCATAAATCAATCCTGGCTACAAACACATCTAACTTCAACAAACACACTATCCTTAATGGTCAACAAATCAGCAACATAGACCCAAAAGCAACTTTCAGATTCTTAAGATACCACTTTACATATCTAAAAAACTACAAACATATTTATCATAGGATAACTAATGAAATCAACTTTGCTTTACACAAATTAAAACATGCAAGAATTATAGAAAAACAAATGATCTACATCATAAATGCAGTTATACTCACCCACTTCACATATTGAGTACAAAACACATACATTACTGAACAAAAATGCAAAAAAATTACAAATCAATATAGCAGTATTGCTAAAGGAAAAGCAATGCTTTCTAGAAATACTCCACATTCTACCTTCTATCACCATCAAATATATGCACTCTGCCAGGCATACAACATCTAAAACCAACAACATATTTTGAATCTTACAAAACTATTAACTATTCTGACTTCAATCAATCAATGCTAGCCCTAATGCTCCAACAACTGCAAAATGCAGCAAACTGTAATACATCAATCCTGCTAGATACACCAGTATTTCCAACACCTCATCACAATATATCAACTGCAAAAACAGTCCTCAGCCTACACTTACTGCAAATACAGATCATAAATGATGCCAACTTATGGCCAATCCCAAAAGTCTACTTAGGCAACTCAATTAACCTAATACTTACTGATTTCCTTCGTATACACCAAATAAAAAAACAGCTTAACAACCATAACATCCAAGCTATCGAACAATTTTGCAACCACAACAACAACCAAACACTTATCTAGAAAGCCTTTTACTACAATATACAAAAAATACCAAGAGGAAGAAAGCCCAAATAGTTTACAACAATAACTAACACAATTGCTGCAGCTGAAAATCTACATAGACTACTTATAACACCCAACTCATTCACTATACCTTTAACAACAGCAATCAAGTCAAAGTGGATAATTACCTTTATACCACAACTAACAATTGGCAAAATCACTAAAATAGACAACCAAAACATCTCTATTGCCCACTAGAAAATCAATAAAGAGAACAACCCAACAACATGATGCAAAGTATGCACACTATCCTCTTACTTAACTAAAATCTGCAAAATTACTATACCTAAAAACTCTATAATATTAACTCAAATAAATAGCAAAAAGCAACTTCATACAAACCTTCAAGACATACAAAAAGCTAACAAAGAAAAACTCAACACTCATACTAAACCTAAAGCAAGTATTCCAACACAACTCTCTAAAAAAAAAGAAGATGCATATGATCGAAAAATCCTTACCCTAATCTCATTTATGCAAACAAAACTGTGGAACATATACTAGATACTCAAAGAAAAGAAACAAATACAAGCCAGCATTTATATAACCAAAATACCCAACAATCCTTCAACTGCAACATGAAAGATTATTGGAAGTCCCTATATGATATCAGTCTAGAATGCAACTTGGCTATCAAACATACATGCTCTATATACAGCAACTGCATTACTCTTAACCATCTGTTCAAACTAGTGCACACTTGAGTTATATATAAAACATCAAACCTTTACTCAAGACCTAATAACAACCATAACTACTCCAGTTTATCTAACAAAAGCATTATATAATACCTCAAACTAAATACACAAAATCGGAGCAAGAACTGTAATAGCAAACAAATATATCTCCTTACAACCTATTTACAAAGCTAATCTAGAACAATGCAACCACATAAATGAGATATTTACTATAGACATCTCTTATAGCAAAATCCTTTACAATATATATATTCTATTAATGCAAATAGCACTAGTTGAACACAATATTAGAAGACTTATTAGACACCTACAAAATGCTCAAGCATTAGCAAAATGGCATTCACAAAGCAGAATACAAGCCTGGAAACAATACCAAATTGACTGGGAAATGAAAACTTAATTTATAAGCTACAAAGACAAACCTATAGCAAGAAGCACACATTCTCAAAAGTTACAACTAAAGTCCTTCAAAATCAAAGTACTCCTAGATAAACTACCTATCTACAAAAACTTGAATAAGAGACATCCCAGTATATATCCAAGCCTAACATGTTCATGATGCAAAAACTACACTGAAGACAATAACTATTGAATCATATGCCCAACAAATAGCTTACTTCTACAACAAATCATAACTAGCACACTTAACACCACCTTTACCAAATTTCAAATTTTACTAGAAACAACAGCATATACTGAATGCAATGTCAGAGTTAACTCAGTAGCCTTAGGTACTATTCTGATAACAAAGCTACCTAACCTTGCTAATAATCAATATATATTATATTTTTACTATAAACTCTTCAAAAAAATATATAAACAAATATGAAAACATAGATGTACTAATATACCACATATCTGTAACCGAAACTCAAATGCCACAACTTCAACCAACCTATCAACTTCTCAAGCCCAACCTTATTTTACTATAGACACTTTACAAAATAAATATAACAAATGGCTTTCAGATTTTATTCATCAAAACATACCTACAACAAACATTATATATATAGACTAGGAGGCCCTAGACCTTTTTAGCAAAGTTTAGATCAAAAGTAAATTAGCTTTAGTCTCTAGTTCACCATAACATTGTATTCACTTACTTACTGTAAAAATTTTATATAATAATAATAAAGGAATAGAGACCAGGCCTCACTTTTTTTTAAAAAAAAAAAAAAAAAAAAAAAAAGATTTTAAACAAAATCGATTTTTAAATAAACTTTATAAATTATTATAAAAAATATCATCATATAAGAGTAAATATTAGAATGTTATTTTTTTATTAATTGATATTTTACAGAAATAAATCAAATATTAAAAAACTTATTAGATGATTAGACTTCTTTTTACTTTTTTTTTTTTTTTTAGAGTTAAGATAAGCTTTTGCTCATATCTTTATTAATTTGTTGAAGATGCCTTCAGAGGCTTCTCTGAATATAAATTACAAAATCTATTCCAATTACAAATTTATTATAAAAATAAAACTTAGATTATAGAAAGAAACTAACTGTTATCTATCTAATTTATCTGTAATCTAAACCTACTAAAGTGGTTAAAACTCACCTAGATTGGATAGTATAAAATGCTATTTGTAGAATAACTATAAAGTATTCAATAATCAAGCCATATATTAATTTTACATAGAGCATAATCAAGTAGCAGGCAAGTATTTGGATTAGTATATTTTAAACTTAATAGTCTGCATAAATTGCAAGTTGTATTATATAATTATTGTTGATTAACATAGTATATATTATTGTGATTTGTTTAAATAGATCTTCTTTGTTTATTTTTAATATGTTATAAGATATTGTTATCTTTTTTCTATTATTCTAGTTTTGTACAATATAGTTTTTATATTTGTTTATAAACTTATTAAGACAGCTTATATAGAAGTTTCATAGTAATATTTTTTGCTTTTGTTTATAATTGTATAAATAGTCTAATTGATAAAATGAGGCTATTAAGCACATATTTTTGTAATATTATGTATATATTAGTTTATTGTAAAATTATATTACTGAATAAGAGACTGTTGTGTTGTGTGAATATTTCTTATAGTTCATTAATTTGAATGCTAGTAATATCAGTTATATAAGTAATTGTTTCTGTAATCATTTCTTGAATAAGGTTTGTAGGAAGTATAGAGTTTAGGCAAAGTATTCAATATAGTGAATATTCTGATATATGGCATATAATACAGTTATTGCTAATTATTGCTTCTAAATATAGGTTGTAAAGATAAAAAAGAGTAAGTAATATGTTAAGTTATAGTTTAA